ACACCGTATATAAATTAAATGAGAATTTGGTTAACAATTAACAAAAAATATAATTACCAAACAAATTAATGTATTAAAGAAAGAAAAAACTTTTACACCACACAAGTTTTGTACTAAATGATTTGTACATTTTTTAAATTGATTTATTGGAGTTTTTATATATTTTTCATATCAAATATTTATGGAAATTAACTAAATTATACTTTGTTCTTCCCCTGAAAATTCAGTCATTTTTCGATCATTTGTAGTCTTTCGTGTGATTAAATTTTTAATATTAAAATATACGATTTTTATCTTTTATTCAATTCAAGATGAAGTGCGAATTCAATTTGATAAGAAAGTCACTAGAACCAAGAAAATTACTTATGAAGTTGCGAGCAATTCAGATAATTGAAAATAAATTTGATGTTTAATACAAAAATTAGTTTGAAATTTTGTTTAATGGTGAGGAGATGAGAATAAATAATTTATTTTGAATTCGTCTTTTCATTATTTTCTTTTTATTTTTTTTTATTCTGTGTATTTATTAGAACCATTATATACTTATTTATGTTTTCTAAATATTTATTATAAAGAGGTCATATTACTGAAATCATAAGGGCTGCTCATATCAAGAAATGGATGAACAATGTGAAAGAGAGAGAGAAAATTATGGAGTTCAAAAGCATCAAGTGGAGGACAACTACGACTCATTCCGTCTAACAATTACACAATTTAAAATTGTGATCCACAGTATGACCAACTTGGTTAGGTTCAAACGAGATTTTTCTACTCTTTTGTGATTTTTGAAACTTTGCTACTATCCGTTATGGTATTTGACAAGATCAAATAGTAGTCTTTGATAATATATTAATCTATGTATTTAATTTTGTTGTATTTATTTTTTTGGTATGGATAATTGAGAATACTTTGAATAATTAATTTACCATTTAATTGTAAACATAATTGATTTGATTGTTGAAATTGAATCGATACAAACTAAAGAGGTCGATGACGTCGCAACACAATGATTGTGTTTTCTCTCAATGATTGACCATAACAATTTTTATTTTATTTATTATATGTTTTTGTAGAAATCATTTTTCATAATTTTTTTAAATAAGCGTTTAGGAGGAACAAGATTGATTGCACATTAGAGGTGATTTCGGTGATCGACTTTTGGAAATTGAGAAAGAATATGACAATAATCGCCATCCACATTTGCTCATTGTTTATTTTTGTCAAACAAAATCATGGGGAGGTATTTTCGTTAAATTAGTTTATAACGTACTTATATTTTGTTAATTAATTTGCAGGGAGGATTGTGTGCCTACAAGGAAAAAATGTTGTCCACGAGAAAAATTTTAATAATACATAATATTAATTTTTTTATCTAATTATTAATTTTCTTTATTCATGAATATAAGAATAAGGCTGGATAAATTTCCATAACATTGTTCACCCGTACATCGCACGTAGTGCTGTTAACGAACCGAACCGAACCGAGCTTGGGCTGTTCGAGCTCGTGTTCGTTTACGTTCGAACAGTGTTCGTGTTCGTTCGTTTATTTTTCGAGCAAAAAATCGTGTTCGATTTCGTTCGTTTAATTGTTTGTCAAAGTTCGAGTTCGTTCGTGTTCGAATAATTTAATACATAAACCTTTTAAATATGTGTGATTAACTAAAATTTGTTCGTTCGAACTCGAAAATAAAAGAACAAAATAAAAATATTTTTATATTTTATATTCTTTATTAAAAATATTGTGTAAATATATAAAAAGTAAATTAAATGATATTAAATTTTAGATTTTTTATTATAAATATTATGTAAATATATAAAATAGAAAATAAAATTATATTAAAATAATATTCGCGAACATAATCGAACGTTCATGAACGAGCTCGTATTCGTTGGATTATTAAACGAGCCTAATTTTCTGTTCGAACTCGGCTCGATTAACAAACGTACGAGCTATTATCGAACACGAACGAGCTCGAACGAGCTTTTGTTTGCGAATGTTCGGTTCGTTTACAGATCTAATTGCACGGGCTCTGCACTAGTTGTGGTATACAATAATTGCATTTCATTGATAGAAAATTACACCATTCATTTTTGTTTTCTAAATACAAATTTACAAATTCCACATTTGAATTGTTGATTTGTGGTCTTTTTTTTTTATTTTCTCTAAATTATACTCTTTTATTTTTACTCATTTATCATTTTTTATTTATAATTTTAATTTAAATGTTGTTTTTATATTTTTTTTAAGAAATGATATAAAAATGTAAAAGGGCCTCAATTATTACTTACTATTCTCTTTTGTTGGATGTTTAATGGGCCTCCATCAGATCCACGACCATTGAAAAAGCCCCACTTAATATCATATCACCAAAATGTTCTTAAAGTCGGATGTTTAATGGGCCTCCATCAGATCCACGACCATTGAAAAAGCCCCACTTAATATCATATCACCAAAATGTTCTTAAAGTCGTAATTGATAGGTACATTTAGGGTTGTAAACGAATCGAATCAAAGCGAATACCCAGAGATTCGATTCGATTCGTTTAAAATATTCGAAGATTCGATTCGTGATTCGATTCGATAACGAATTCATTTTTTTTATTCTTATTCGATTCGTTTAGAATATTCGAACATATTCGATTCGATTCGAAATTCGTTTTCAAAAAAATATTATAATTAAAAAATATTATAATTACAAAAATAAATTTTATTTTTCATATATTTTTAGAAATTTTTTTGTCAATTTATGATGTTTTTACTTTTTATGTCATAAAAATATTAGGAATATAACAATATATATATACATATATTATATACAAAATGTATATTATATATAATTTGTATAAAAATATTATAATTACAAAAATAAATTTTATTTTTCATATATTTTTAGAAAAAATTGTTAATTTATGATGTTTTTACTTTTTATGTCATAAAAATATTAGGAATATAACAATATATATATATACATATATTATAAACAAAATGTATATTATGTATAATTTGTAAAATTTATATAATTATTGTTAACGAATCGAATATTTGAATTTCGAATCGAATATCTACATATCCGAATTCGAATTCGTTATAATTTCGAATCTAAAACATCATTCGAATTCGAATTCGAATTCGAATCACGAATCGAATCAAAAATTTTTGATTTGTTTACAACCCTAGTTGGCGGCCAAGGAAAGACTCCTCACTAACAGTGAACGTGTGCGGAGGCATATAGCGAACTCGAAGGACTGCGATCTCTGCGGGGAAAGCGAATTAGTTCTCCATGTCCTACGGGACTGCCCGCCGGCCAAAACCCTTTGGAAGAGACTGTTACCAGCAGAACACGATGGAGCATTCTTCCAACATCCTCTCAAAGTATGGATCCGCAAGAACCTCATGTTGAGACGAGGAAGGGAAATTGGTAGCTGGAGTTGCACATTCTCGATTGCGGCATGGAGAAATTGGAAATGGCGCAATGAAAGAATTTTCGAGAATAGCTCCCCGACGATAGAGGCTAGAAAAATCGAAGTACTGAACCTGGTAGATAGCTACTCCCGGGCTGAAGAGGATTATGCGAGGGCTGGTGCGAATTTGTATGTTACACGTATGATTCAGTGGACCCCGCCGGATGTGGGTTGGGTAAAAGTGAATAGCGATGGAGCCAGGGCCGGCTCCAGGGGGAGGCAACCTAGGCATGGGCCTAGGGCCTCCCTTTTATTTGGGGCCTCATATATTTTTTTTTTAATATTATGTATTTGTGTTGAGTTTTGTCTATCTACATATGAGGCCTCATTATTTTTTTAATATTATATATTTGTGTTGAATTTTATTTATTTACACAATATTTACACAAAAGAAGGGGTTAATGGCTAAATATGGACTTAAATCATTACACAAATGAAGGAACTAATGCAAAATATGTAGTTTGTGTGGAAAATTGAGGAACAAGTTGTGTGAAAATAAATGAAGGCCCTAAATATTTCATTTGTTTCCGTACAATGTTCGGTCAGAACAAGTTGTGTGAAAATAAATATTCTTTGTAGTGATATGATTTTTATTTACTTGTTTTTAGTGTCCTCGTGATTGGTTGATTATAATTTATTAAAGATTTTTGTAGCCCGGAGGTAATTTATCAATTCCAAGTTCAAGAAAAACAAGATTTTTTTTTTAATTATTTATTTAATAGTCTTGTTAAAATTTATGATTCTATCTGCGAATAGACCTAATTACCACGTAAGTTCAAATCGAGAAAATTCGAAAAGAAAAAACTTGCCTAGGCCTCCGAATTTCTGGAGACGGCCCTGGATGGAGCGGTTGATCACCTCACGGGGCTGAGTAGCGCAGGTGGTTTAATTCGAGATGAGATGGGCTGCTGGATTGAGGGATTCGTAATGAACATAGGGCACTGCACCATTACCGGGGCCGAA